TTAGATGGTGAAACATAAGACATCTTCTTACCACCCAACTAACGTGTGTCATTTAGGAGTGTAGCTAATCCTTATCGCATAGGAAACTAGGCTTGTGTGATTAAGCAATAGGGAAATTTGCATTTTGTTTTATCCAAGTTGTTTACTTTATGAGAAAAGTGTCAATTCAGTACGCTAAGTTGTAGCATGGGGAGTAAAGAGTACCTCATTTTACATTTGATACCACGAAGTACACATACTTGGTATTTTGGTGTTAAATGAGTACATTAGCCATATTAAGAAGTTAACATAGCTGACATGGCAAACGGAATAGTGATATGTCCAAATTTAGTCCACATCATCTGTTAAGTGCTTGGTCCAATTTTTTCTTTGATTTCCAATTTTCCTTTTGAACTCTTCATTCGACCCCAAACACCTTCAGATACTGTGGCTGCTAAACTACTTCTAGTTGGGTCATATATATCTGCTCCCCCAGCCATTATTCCTGTAATTGAGTCATGGCCAAATTACAGTGCCACATTAAATCCTAATCCATCATTAGTCAGTCCACTATTTCCACTCTTAAATATGAGCTTTATTCATTAATGAGCAAGCAGGGCCTAATGCAGGTAAAGCTCTTTGTCCACTAGCTCTTCCAAGCATGGGTGCACCGTGCACTAAGCGTAACAGGGAGATTAAACTGAGAAAGGCTTTGCAATTATGATATGCCCAAAACTCAAGATAGTATTTTTCTGTTGTATATTTGTATTCTATATGCAACAAAAATGATTACATAACATAAAATCAGTCACCAAAAAAAGAAAAATCAACGACTAGCGGAGGAAGTAAAAATCAGTCCATAACCGAGGAAAGTAAAAATAAGTATTCTTCTGTTGCTCTCAAAGCTATATTCTGAAAGCAAAAATATCCACAAATTAACGGAGGACGTGGACTGTAAAATCAGTCCATAAGACAAAGACTCAGCAAAAGTCTAGGATTAGTCACCAAAAAAAGAAAAATCATAACCAAGGAAGAGAAGATAAAGAAGAAGCGAAGAACCAGATGAAGGTTTGGATTCTGAGACGCAGACATCAATTGATAAAATTAGGGCTAGATATTAAAGGGTTGAGCAATTGATGAGCTAGAGTCCAACGTTTCAAAAATAAAGGCTTTAGTTTGCCACATCAGCAAGTTCTAACGTCAAATGCATAGGCACCCTCGATCAACACCAAATTACCAAGTATGTGTCCTTCCTAGTATCAAATGCAAAATGAGGTACTCTTTACTCTCCATGCTACAATTTGGTGTTCTGAATTGACATTTTTCTCTTTACTTTATTGAGTTTCAGACTTTAGCCATTTGTATTCTCGGAGCTATTCCTCCGGAGATGTCTTGGTCTAATCCCCCCTCGTTTTGTTTGTTCCTTATTTTCTACAACAACGACATTGCCGCAAAGGCTCCAATCTACGGTGGGGTAAGGGGGTCGAATGTACGCAGACTTACCCATGCACTAAAGCACGGAGAGACTATTTCCAAATGACCCCAGATGAAAACACATCGAAAATTGCAGCTTCTTCATAACAAAGAAGCAGCAGACAATGAGCCATTTTTCTTTACACCGTCATATTTCCAAGCCAAAAATAGTGAGTTTTTAGTTCCATTGGAAATGATGGAAATTTTGTTCCTTTTTTCTAATAAAATAAAATAAAATCATAAATATATGCAAAGTAATTTTTGTTTGAAACCAGTACACACCAATCGTGTAGCTGATGTTGCAATATTTCAGTCAACAAAATATATTACATGTTACCTTCCCGCTCGATAAAGGGCTTAACCCTTGAGAACTAAGCACCACGTGTGCACAAGTTAGAATTGTTCCATCTTTGTCTATGATTGTGCCAGATCCTATACTCTTTCCAACCGCCAATCCATGAAAACCTGCCAAAATAAATAATTATATCAATCATATAAACAAAACAAGAATGCCACTTTAGGTATTTATCAATGTATCAGTAATTAAAATCCTGAAAAAGATACCTTTTGGAACAGACAAATTGACTACAGCAGGACCAACACTTGCGGCTGCATTGGCAATGGTATCTCGGGTAAGACAATTCCTACATGAGTGCACGGTACCACCACCACCACCAACAACCACTGAGGAAGTGTCTTTGTTTACATCAGATGATGTTGCGTCATCTGAACGGGTTCTAGAAACAACAAAAGGAAACCTACCTGCATTAATGGAGTCAACCATGTTGTCATGAATAAATGCATGAGGAAACCAGTCTAAATATGGAGTAATATTTACAGATGCAACATTACTAGTCTGTGAAGCTCCCAGGGTCAGAAATGAGGGGTAGAAGGAGAAGTCTTTGTCTTGCAAATTATTCCATTTACATCTGATTGAGTCTTCTAGTGGCTTAGGAATTGAAACCGAGAAAAGGGGGGCTTCTGAAAGAAGTAGATTTAGGTTAGTCAACACTATATCCAATAAAGATCATAGCAAAATATATCGATAATGTCATACTGATTTCTCTAAGTTATTTTCTTATCTTGGGATTTACCTGGATAATGAAATGTCATTAATTTCAATATTTATACATTTAAACTAATTAGTTAGAAAAGAATTCAAAATGATATTAAAATAAATTTATTAAGTTTAGAGCATTCTTTAATTTTCTCAACATTTTCCTTCCCTTTTCTACTATATTTTCCTCTCTGTTTCCCTTTCCTAGCATTTTTAGCGTTTCGATTCCAAACCCTTCAAAAGCAGAAAACATGTGTAAAAAAAACAACAGAAACTCTTAAATCATTTTCGTTCGGACAGAAAATAGAATTCTTACTTGAATCGTTATCACTGCAGGCAAAGAACACCAGAGCCGACCCTGCTATAGACCCAGCTGCAACTCTCAGAATTGACTTCTTATCGCAAACCGTAAACTTTCTCTGTAAAAGGTAAACGCAGTGGAAACTTAATTTTAATGTTTTACAATTGCTAAATTGCTGTTTTAATTTTTCCCCCGAAAAATATGCTAATTTTAAAGAGAAGAGCAAAGATAATTATAATACCAGAAGGTGCATCGTGACTGGTATACTTGATCGATCCTCAGGAAGTGCTCCACTGATCCGCCATTAACCATTCAAACTAAAAACCTGAGCAGGACTACTTTCGAGAACATTTCAAGCTTGGAGAAGAAATAAAGGATAAATGAAATCGGGCTTAAGCTATTGAATTCAGAAAAGCCCAGGTGCGAAAACTAAGCCCAAAACAGTCTTTTAGATTATTTGCCATGAATATGTATTTTTCAAAAAGTTATGCACAGTGTATGTTAAAATACTTTACACATTCACAAGAGTGTTCAAACTTCAAACTAGTACTCCTTTGTCTCGGTTTAAATTTGCATTTGCTTCTTTAAAATGTCTCACCAAAAGATTTTCATTTCTGATTTAAGAAATAATTAACGATCTTAAATATTGAATATTAAAAATAATATATTAGTTATCATCAATGACATCATTATATTATATATCCATCAAAAATAGATTTCAAAATATAATCAAATAACCTTGTCTAAATATTTTGTAAATAATTGTTTATTTTTTCAAATAAAAACTTAATTAAGGAAGGAAGTAATAGTACATTTGTCTCATATTGGATGTTTTATTTTAATTTGACACAATTATTAATAAACTTGTTAAAATGTGAAATCTAGGGGGTTAAAATTTGAGTAGAATAAAATGAAATTATAAAGATAATTTATTTTGAGACAACACACAAAAATAATTAAGACAATCAAAATAAGACCAAAAAAAGTAATACTCTATAATTAAGAGCCCGTTTGGAGACCTCTTTTTTCGTCTTATCAAGCTTATCAGCCAGCTTTTTCACCAAACACGTAACTTTTACTTTCGCGCGTTGAATTGTGTAATAAGCAGAAGAGGTAAGGTTGGAGTTAACTGTTCTGGTTGTATTGGTTGAAGTTACTGTAGATGACCATTTTAGCTATTTCTACATATAATTTTTTCTTCATTTTATTGATATAATACTTTTTTAAAATATTTTTTTTAAATCAGCAGCATTAGACAAAACAGTCACTCCAGTCAGAAATTCATAAATTTCAGCAGAATCAGTCAAAACAGCCAATTTTGATGCTACCAAACGGGCTCTAAATAGGTAGAGTAACTTTTGAGTGATATGGCATATACTTCGAATATTCTCTCAACAAATTTATTAATTGCATTCTCAGAAGAATTAAGTAATTGTAAGCATTTCCTTAATAATCATTTATTGACAGTTCAAAATATAGTTACTTTTAGGATCATTTTCTCTTGCAGCTCTTTTAGTCTTGCTCTTATCTACCAATTTGCCCACATAATACTTGATTCTTTGTGGCTTTCAAATCAAAACAATTATTTTAAATATTTTCCAAAAAAAATTATCCAAACTATGAGAAAGTTTTTTGTATAGTACATTATTAGTACCTTCATTTTTCGGTTTTGCTAGACATTGTTAATTAAATTGAAGTGTTACGACATGTAACGAAAACAACATTAAAGTAAATTGGACTTTGAATATTGACATGAAAAGTGCCAACAATTTGTTATTTGGAAAATGCCAATTAAATTTCTCAACTCAACTATCAGTCAATTATTTCTCCTTCTATATTTCATAATGTCAATTTGTTACAACTCAACAATTTGCAAATTATATTTCAAGCCTTAATTGACATTTTTGAAATATATCAAGTTCTGCGTCATGGACAATGTTCGTATCTATAGAAAAACATCATATTTTTATCAATATTATTTCAATATACCTTTACCTCAAACTCCTAACATTTTTTCTTTCGTCGGGGTGGGTATAGGAAGAACCAAATATCCTAACGTTTTCATCTCAAACTACGGAATTAATGTTTTCTTCGAAAATGAATTTGTTACAGTTTACTATCAATCATGCCGTCATTGTTCATGACACTTGCTCCGTATTATTTTTTACATATTTAAAATACTAGTAGATACGAACATATGGAAATACTAGTACTTTGGAAGAATCAATAATAAGTTATGCAGATAATAAAATAATAATATTATACAACCCATAAAAGAGAAATGGATCTTCAATATATTTCAGCAAAAACTACCTCTTCAACTTTGATCATAACTTAACTGATCCGGTAAAGGTAACCTAAGAACCAGAGAGTAAATTATAGAACAAAGCTAACAAAACATTAACCGGACGAAACCCAACAACAGCCCAATTTACAAACTTAAATTCAGAAAGGCATAATTAGGGCTTCCAGTTCAAGCCTTCTTTGGCAACTTGCTGGGTTTCGCTTCCTTCTCGTCGGCGGCGGCACTTTTCTTGGGAAGGAGAGTCGAATTAATATTGGGAAGAACACCGCCGCTAGCAATGGTGACTCCTCGCAGCAGCCTCCCCAATTCCTCATCGTTCCTTACTGCTAACAGCAAATGCCTTGGGATGATCCTCGTCTTTTTGTTATCGCGAGCCGCATTACCCGCCAATTCCAAAACCTGAAATTAACCAAAACTAGATGTTAATATTTCACGGAATAATCCAGATCTGCGCGATATTGATAAAATTCAAAGGAGATTTTAGATAATTACCTCAGCGGCGAGGTATTCCAGGACGGCGGCGAGGTAAACAGGAGCGCCGGTGCCGCAGCGCTGAGCGTAACGCCCCTTCTTCAGGAACCGAGCGATCCGTCCGACGGGGAACTGAAGGCCGGCCTTGATCGACTTTGTGACGGCCTTCTTCCGATCGCCGCCTTTCCTTCCTCCAGCACCTCTGGTCGTCTTAGTAGAAGCCTCCATTGTTGAAACTCGAGTGCGATTTGGAAGGGGAAGTTCGCGCTCAGGTATTTTGAATGATTTGTTGAGGAAAGGTGTGGGACTATGTACGTATTTATAGTCAAACCGGAAGGATTGCCATGCTGGCAATCCCGTCGCGAGATGGTTTCTACGCCAGAGATTTGAAGAAAGTGTATTGAATCCAACGGACAACAAAGTACAAGCTGGCGATCCGTATGCAAGTACTTCTGTTTTAAAGTAGGCTTTTCAGGCATATGTGAAATGAGTCCGGCTCCTCTCGAGTGCATACGGATGAGTCCACTTGATTTATTAGAGCAACCACAATGCTATCATGTCTAGTGAAGATAATGTGTGCCATGTCATCACTTGATACACTAAATGTTAAATTTCAGCTCCAATGCACATAGTCTTGTGATGACTTGGAAAAAAAAGTTGAACGGTGTGAAGATAAATAGTGCAAGTGTAGAAAGCCTCTTTCACTTGCTGACTAGATTAAATAAATTAAAAAAAAACAATTTTACCGAAGTGCTCTGTAGTTTTTATGCCTTTGCCGTCTCTTTCACCAAACCACAACACCCGGATATCTTTCCGGCATAACTTTTTGTTTTCGAAAACCCAAACCACGCCGGCGTTTTTTTCAGTTGCGCAGGAGTTCAGTATGGAAGAAGAACACGCTGGTCTTCTACATAACCTTATATACTGGGGATGATAATTCTGAAAGTCTTGGTTTTTTGTTCACCAACGGATTTTGAAAGTCATGGTTTTTTTTTGGATGACGTCATGGTTTTTTGTTAAGATTTATTTTTAGGATGTTTTTACTTAGACTGTAATTTGTCCCAGACCAGATCAGTCCAGACCAAATCAGATCAGACCAGACAAGACCGGTTCAGACCAGACCAAACTAGCAAATTACTGGAAGGGGAATGAGAATTCAGGTATGGTAGGGCAAAGCTTTTTTAAAGAAAATTTATACTACCTCAATAGTACTCCCTCCGTCCCTGAATGTTGTTCCAATTGCGGATTACGAAGGTTGACCGACGATAAAGTTAAATGATCCCTGTGAAAACTCGGATTATTTTTAGTAAATAAAATTTACATATTCAGAAACTACATTAAACCCGCTACAAAGCCTGCAAAAAAAAATCAATTTTTATAAAGTTTTGATACAAAAAGTAAGAGTTTAAGAGTGATTTAAGTTAACTCTCGAAAAGCGAAATGGAAGTAAATTTAGGGACAGAAGGAGTATAATTTACTTGTATTTTAATAAAAAACAATTTGACATCCGTACTTGACATGGGCCGTAAGACTTTTGCATTGGATGCTTCTTTGATAGTTCAATATCCGGTCATCTCACTATATAATTTGTGTATTAGAAAGTCCTTTAATTATTTGACATTTGGCACTTTTTATTTAGACTAGAAAGTGCCCCATTGGTGATGCTCTTAGAGAGATGCCACATGGTCGCCTATTAAATCAATGGTCTGGATCTTACTTTATCAAACCTTTCCCATATTCATTTTTAATTGCTAGAGTAGCTTGACTAGCTTCAGTACCTCTCTCCATCCATGCCATCTTATTTTCAGGAAAAAATCATACAACCCTACCCGTTTTTTACTATCTCCATTCTTTGGGTTTATTTTTCTATTCTTCACTAGCAGAGAGGATCACTTTTCACCCCTACAACTGAAAACATAATATGTTTCTTATTCAATATTTAAAGGTTTGGATTAATTTTCACTATAACTGAAGGTATATCAACATTCTAGATTTCTAGAAAATCCCATCGGTATTAGTAATTTTAATTGGAAGTTAGAATGTGCTGATATTGCTAGTTTGCAAACTTATTAAATTTAAATATGAAGCTTTTGTTTTATTCGTTACTTTTGTGGATAGGAGTTTGGGACTTTGATGATTATTCAAATTGTGTTTTAAGGTTTAAATACATTTTCAGTCTCTGTAAATATGCTCGTTTTGTTTTAGGTCCTCGTAAATTCTTTTTATTTTTATTTTTCATCTCTGTAATATGCACTATTTTGTTTTTACTTCATCTCTAACTTTGAAACACTTCTATTCAGAAAAATGTTATTTTCAGTTGTATATATAAATCTACCATAAACATATAAATTTATCCTTTTATAATTTTTTGAGGCTAACATGAGAGTTAAAACAATGAAAATCGAATTCTTTACATTTTTAAATTATGTATAAAAAAAACTTCTAAAATTAATTAAATAGTTTTTGAGTAATATGATAAAGAATTAGAAGAAACACATTAGCCGGGAATGTTTCATTGTCAATTCAAACGGGGATTGTTATCAGTTATCACTGGTGATGGACTAAAAAGAAAACTAACTTCAATTTCAGAGGTGAAAAACAAAAAAAAAATTGCAAAGATGTGAAACAAATGTATTACATTTACAGGGACTAATAATATAAAACCATTTTTTTAATTTAGATATTGGGCGTGTTTGACATTTAGCGGTTACCAGTTAGCGGTTGGCGGATTATGTTAGCGGGTTGTCAATAGCGGATTCAATCAACGGGTTTGACTAACGGAATAAATTGGCAGGTTGTCAGAAAATGTTTGATAACTTAGCGGCCTTGGCCATAAAATTAATTAGTACAACCGCCATTTTTCTAAATGCCAACCAAAAACTCTCCTATTAGCAGCGTTTCCATTTCAGCGTTTCTGTCCAAAAACGCTATACTGAACAGCTATTTACCAAAAAAACTTTTTCACTCATTGAAAATAATGAAAGTGATCAAACCGCCATTTTTCGGGTGAAACATCATTTACCAAACACCCCATTAAAGTGATGCTTGTGACTTTGATGTTTGTTTCCTAGAAATTTCATTCAAATCCACACTATTTTTTCGTCGATTTGCTTAGCTATATTATATACGTAAGTAATTTAACAACTTTATTAATTTGGTGAATTACTCATTCTCTGAATTAAGCAATTTTAAACATTCAATTAAAGAATTCATGAATTATCTAAAGCTAGTAGGACCACAAATGGAATAGAAAAAATAAAATAAAATAAAAAGAAATCAGTAACTTAAGTACTTCATAGTTGTTACTTCAATTCCTAGAAGTAAACTTGTACTCCGTACAAGTCAAAACAATGAAAAGGAGTGGGCAAGTCGGCCTCTGAGTACATCGTAGAAGAGAGAGAGGATAAATACAAGCCTTTGATTTAATAAGTGGGTATGTGGCATCTCTATGATGAATCAACTGGATACCGTATGTACTGGAGAGGAGCCAGACTCATGTGAAATGAGCGGGAAACTTTAAGACGAAATTTTATTGTCCGCCGCTTAATAATGTCGAGTATCATACTATCATTTCACAACCAAAAAAACATTGAAAATGGGTTTGAAACCATACTTTTACTTGGACAGTTTTCAAACAGTGACAAAAAACACGAGATATTTATCAGACCAGAAAATTCCACTGCAACTAAAAACATCCCTAATTAGCTTTTGTTGATCTTTAAACACATGCCATTCTTTAGAATAAAAAAACACATTTAAAACGAAATATAAGGTCGGTCTGTTTAGAAAGGGAAAAAACTTCTACTTCCCGTATAAAATGTATATTACCCGTATTTTACCCGTATTTTACAAAAATAGAAACATGAATTGATGGATATAATGAATGCATTAAATGTATAAGAGATCAACCATACAAAGTAGTTTAAAAGCAAAAAAGAAAAACCTCCTTCTTGTGCCCTCCAGTTTTGTATTGTTAGTTTGTAACAATAAAAAATATACAATTATTAAATAATAAAATTAATTGCATAGCGGCTAAAGCTAGCATCCTGAAAGACTAAAACTTAAAATAATGAGTACTAGATTTCCCATGTTTTCCCAAATAAGCATATCAAAATTATGGTTTTTCTAAACCTAACATTTATTTATTATAAACTTTTGCACATAAACAATAATAAGCTTAGCAACTGGACAACTTTCTCGTATATCATTTGTCATCTGGAAAATGATGAGTTATTTTGGTGTTGTTTGATGATCATATAAAGATGGCAATGTTAACTACTCTCATTTTATCATTATTATGTCAGATTTTTTACATTGTTTTGCAAAATTATGTCTTGCACTTAATTACTATTTCTATTTTTGTGATCGACTTATGCAATTACGAATTAATCTTTTAGATAGCAATGGGATTTGCTACTTGAATATGTGTATACCTTTACTTTAAGAGAAAATTGCTATTAGTAAGACTAAATCATACAAAGTATACAAAATTAGGATTTAGTCAAGTTTTTTCCATCCGTAAGCTTCATTTAGTCCTGTTTTAGAAAATTTATATTTTAATTTCCCTTTTTACCCTCCACTTCCGGTTGCTTATTATTTTTAAATAAAAATTACTTCCGATCAATTCAATCTCTTCCGCAACGAGCATGTCTTCTTCTTCTTCCGTTCTTCGCCTTAATGGGAAGCCATCGTGCAGTGACAGCATGAAGCCGCTTGGCTACGAAATCCCCTTCTGCATCGCATTCTTTCTCGTCACCTCGTGTCATTCAGATCCGTAAGTTTTCAATCTATGTTCTTAATTCGTTGAGTAAATATACAGGGGAAGTAGTGGAAGCTACGGCTGGGAAGGGTTCAGCCACACTCTCAATGGCATATGATGGGGCCATATTTGTAGATGCTTGTTTGAAAGGATTGATAGGAGTTCATGATGTTGTAGAATGTTCCTTTGCACAGATAGACAACCACTACTCTATAAACTGAGCCTGAGCTTAAGTCCTCTATTGAAAAGGAAATCAAATTTGCCAGTGAGAATTAAGATACTTACTCCCCCTTTTGCATCTAAAGTAAGTTGAAATTTGAATAATTTTGGGCAATTATTGTCAAAGTATTACTTTTGTTTGAGTATCTGCTAGTGGATTTAGATTTAGCAATTCCAAATTCATGCAGACAAAGGTTAAGATGAAGTTCTGTTTCAATAACATTGAATTAACTAATGAGAGGATGTGTTTGTCCTCTTCCTATAAAAAAACATGTTTTCAAATCAGTTTGGTTTAATTTCTTTCTTCCTCCCGAT